GACATTATCCTCTCCTCAAAACATCTGCTGTTCTACTACGGGCGATTGATATCGAAGAAGTACGAATTGAGTTTGAGTGAACTATGCGTGAACTCAGCAATCAAAACAGTTCGTTTTGGTGTTTGAAAGCAATTGAATCCAACTGAAAACTCTTCATTTGTTGAGCAAGGATTTGTCGCTAACGATAAGTATTATCACTGAACTGAATGTGGAAATTCTCATCATTTGCAAAGTTTTGAAAATGGTCTTATTTTTAGCAAAATGTCAAAGTTAGATTCACCTAGGTGTGAGATTAACAGTGAAGTTGAAATTGTTCGATTTGGGGCGATAGAATTTTTGATGAACGATGCTTGCAAGAGAGAAGATGACTGGTAATCAAGTTGTGAACAACAGAAGCATAATAAGAGTTGTAATCAGGCCAGCAAAAAGCTGTCGACAACTGGAGAACTGCAGAATGTTTCGAACTCAAGCTCAAGCCTACATTCAGGCTGAAACTTAAACTCAGAGTCACACTTTTAGTTAGACGTGATGTTACAACTGAACTCAAGCTTCGAGCACGAAATGATTTGTTCAGCACAGTATTCATTGCTATCATTGTATTAGTGCTGTTGCTATCGCTATTGTTCTTGTTGGTTGTTTAGTGATAGCAGATTCTATTTAGTGCCACCATTAATAAGGAAATTATCGTTGAGATAATACGTACTGTAATACTATAACAGACCCGTACTCAGGATTTTTATTTGGAGCAATGAGATAGTGAACCGTTTGGGGAAGAGGAATACATCTATTTGGAATAATGTTTGCTCTCCCCGAAGTTTGCTCCCATTGAGTGTGAACATAGGATTGTATAGTTACTATCGGATCTGACTTAACAGTGAATGGAGACACTTTAAGAGATCTTCGTAATCATCAGAATCACTGTAATATCAAGAAATCACACAATATAATTGCAAAGAATCGAACAAGTTCGTATGATCCACCGTAGTTTCGTCAGTTTCAACAGATTCGGTCACATCCTTAATTCAGGTCAAGCTCGAGGTGTCAGTGGCGAGGACGAGGAATATTTCCCGACGAATGATATTGACGATAATGGATTCTTTGCGTTGGATGCGCCGATCTTATCACCCTCTGATAACAGATCACCTTCGCCTAGCAGTGAATTTCGTTCGAGTCGTCGCATTTCCGAACGACTCGGCAGCAGATACCCGACCAGGTTGTGCTCGTTTTACTAGTGATAGTATCAGTGATGTTGGTTGTTAACGATAATGACAATAGTAATGATAGTAATATAGTGATAATAATAAAACTTAAGAGAAGCGGCGGTGCGTCGAAGGTATTCGCCAGGCTTACCAGGGGATGACATGGCTAATCCATCATCGTATCGTCAGACAAGACTAATACGACAGTTCGATCGCAAGCAGCAACCGCCGCCCATTGTGCTCATACCGAAACGTAGACCAACAGCGATCGTTCGTGGAGATGAGTTCGTTTTTTAGCTGTTTTTCGTTACCGTTTTGTCAGTTTTACTATTTATACTGATTGTGAGCGATTTATTCAGTGAGATATAGAGGTATAATTATTGCATTCGAATGATCAAATAATGCGAACGATTGTGTCATTTCATTATTATCATTACTCTATCAGAATTACTATTGATACTGTTGCTATCACCATTCTTCTTGTTAGTCATTTGTATGTAGAGAATTTTATTTGAGGCTTCCCAATGGCAATGGAATTTTTCTTAAGATAATAC